TTGTTCTTTATCATTCTCCTTCTTCCCAAGACTTCACTCTTTTAGATGTAATTTCTGATCAAATTGAGCATGCCTTTTCCTTTTACCCCTCTACCAATACTGTTGTTATTGGAGACTTTAATGCTCATCACACTAAATGCCTTGGCTCTAACGCTACTGACCCTGCTGGCACTAAAACCCGTAACTTTTACATTTCTCAACCTCTTACTCAGATAGTTAACTTTGCGACTAATTTTCCTGAATAACCATTTCAGTTGACTCCTTTATTTGTATCTTGTCTCTGACCTTAGGTGATTCTAACCATGTAAATCGTTCATGTCGTACTTCTTCTTCGGACTCACCCTATCATCCCACTACTTACTACAATCCCTAAGCTGACTTGATTTATAATTGATGAGAAGGAATAAATGCATTCCAGGCAGGAATCAAAGCTTTTATTCCTTCTCATCAACTACAAGTCCAGCCCACTCTACTCCATGGTTTTCACTTTCTTGTGCAGCTGCTATATCTAATTGTAGCCATACTTTTAATCTTTTTCAAAAGAACAACTCTCTTGAAAACAAACTGTTATGTAAAAAGGTGCTGTCTGATGCTAAGCTTCATTATTCTCAATTCACTAAAACCAGTGTTCTTATCTCAATTCTATTCTTAACCATCTTATCTCAAAAGTTAGGCTCTAAAGACTTTTGGAAAATCTTCAACAGCGTTGTTAAAGTATCATTAACAAAGGCCTAACATTCTACCTCTCATTCATAAACTGATCTTATTACCTTTATAAAGGATACAAACAGGTTAACCCATTGTTAGACATTGTTAAATCTCTCCATTGCTAAAGTCATACCTTAACTAAACTACGGTTTGTGGTGCAGACAAAGTTCTAGTAAACTGTCAGACACTCAATACAGTTTTCGATCCTCTTGCTCTGCAGCTGACACTTCTGTAACAGATCCCCAATCTGTTACAGAACTTGCAGTGGTTTGTGAATGAAATTCACATTATTTACTGCAAACAACTATCATAATACTGTTGACATTTCTATACTAATGAATGGCAACCCTTTCACTGAGTCCTCTTCTTTATGTCTTCTAGCACTATCATTCATTACTGAACTTTCATAAAACCATATATACAATCAATTGCTAGATTAGCATCTGCAAAAGTTGCCTCTTTTTGTTGTTGCCTCTTTTTTATACTCCTGATTTCATTTTCTACCTCTACATATCTTTTATTTGTCCCTGTATGGAATACTATTATCATATTTGAGCTGGTTCTTCTAATGATTCTCTTAATCTCATTGTAAATTTTTTTTTGTCTGTTCCTTAGTTTTTTTTCTTAGATTTATTAGTCTTAAGATAACAAAAAAAAAGTTCTGGTTCAATTTATAAGAATAACTTAGTCAATTTTCAAAAGGCTAAAGAAGGGGCGTGATGGAAGTGTGTAAGGGGAGAAGGGGTGGAAGTGTGTGTGGAGAGGAAGAGATTAAATATCTTAACATCACCCATCAAGTCACTAAATTTTTAATTACAAAATATTTTTACCAAAACATTTCAGATTTTTGAATGATTTTTTAAAGATTTTTTACACAAATTTTGCAAAACTCAGATTTACAAATACACAGTAATAAATTTTGCAAATTTTTTACAAAACGCAAATTTTGCAAATTTACTGAGATTTACAATGAAAAATACACAGTAATAAGGCCAATGCAAAAATATGTATGGTTTAAATACAAAGTATATGAAGGGTCATTTTATCAATACAGGTTTACATTTGACCCTCCCTCAACGTCACTGAAAACGGCAACTTTTTACCAAAAATTTGACTTTTTCAAAAAATAAATAAAAACTTTGAGGGAGGATCTAGAATGATCAAAAAATGCTGGGTAAGTTTTAAAACCTATTTTCTTACTATTTTCTTATTATTTTACAGGGTGCGCAAAACATTGTGACGTATTGAAAAATCAGAGTATGGTCATGAAATCAGAGTAGAGATGAAAATTGTTGGTGCAAATTAATCACAAACTGTGATATCTGGAAATACTAATGATCTTCAAATTTTTAATATTTTAAAAACCATTAACACTGTTTTTATCACTAAACTCAATAACTATAACTCAGTATTTTCCATTGATTATAAAATTAAGATAATCTCATTATAAAACAATATTATTATTATTATTATTATTATTATTATTATTATTATTATTATTATTATTAACAATTATGATTTAAACTTCAATATTTGACAAATCATAAGATAAAACTAGAAAAATAAAGCATTCAGTACAATGTAATATTAAAAATAAAATAACTGCAAATCAAAACAGTCTAATAGAATTTAATGGTGTTAAAATATTTTTTCAAATATCAAATATTTTTATTTTTAGAAAATTAACTACTTATTTAACTTAAATACTTTTTTTTCTTAAAATCAAATAAACTGCCTATTAACTGCTTCTAACTTTCTAGAACAATATAATTAAAGACAAGAGGTGTTTAAAAATACAAAAACATCTTATAGTTATTTTAAATTAAAACTAAGAAACTCTAATAAATAATCAACATATATTAATTTAAACGGACATTAGGCTATCCCACTGGATGCTCACGCACACATTCAGTAGGAAGCTCCACAATGCACGTCAGATCAGCACTTGTTGACTATGTGCTTGGATCTGAAATCTCACCTTATAGCACATCATTCCACACCAGTAGCTTTTTTGGCTAAGAGTGATGGCTTGTGGCGACTAATGTGTGCTTTCGATCAATAGAAATCCATTCTGTAGGTCTTACGTCTGGCTTTAATGTGGTAGCCCATAAGCACAAGAAGTGAGTGTGTTTAGCTTTCTATTTACCCGATTTGAAAGTGAACGAAAACATAACGAGACAATACTAGACAACAAAACAGTACGTACTAATGCACTACACACCTGTAGACATCAACAGTCTCCAAAATCAGTATATCAAATATTTGTTCTTTGTTACATATGATCTACACACAGAGTGACTAGAGTGTTAGTTAGTTCTCCCCCTGCCCCCCGAGCATTTAACTTTGTTCATCACCTTCACAAAAGTCTTATCATTCATTTTATATTTTTTTTATGATTTTTATTTTTTATTCAATGACACCATCTTTTAAGTGTTTTTATTATCACATCTCTCAGGCCTACAAAACTGGATGGCTTTGTTGGTCACTTTTTGCAATCAAAAGACGTTTAAAAACACAAAAAATTAAACATCTTATAGTTATTTTAAAGTAAAACTAACTCTAATAAATAATCAACATATATTAATTTATCATTATTTTTATTATCAATTAGTTTATGTCTAATTTAAAACATTTTTTTTTTTTTTTAAATAAATAAATCTTCAAATTTTTCCCCTAACTAAAATTGGATTTTAATGTTTACTACAATAGCAATTAGCTTTATTATCATTTTTAATTGATCAATTTTAAGATTACCATGCATATTTTTCAGACCTTTAGTAATTATTATTTTTAATTTATTTTTGATTTATAATACTAGAATTAACTGGTGTTTAAACAAATAATAAATTAAATTATATAATTTTTTACTGTTATTATTTTTGCAGTCATATGTTTATTGTTTTATTTTTTTCATAAATTTTTCCAATATGATAAATTGACTTTAATAAAAAAGTGCTCACAACTTGTAAAAAGAATAATAAAACCAAAAATTTAAAGGCCAGCAGTATTTCCAGATATTGCAATTCACAACAACTTTTTTTTTTTAATGTTAATTGACCTTCCCAAAGCTGAGAAGACCACTACAGTCAAGGAGACTACTTTAGTTGTAGTTACAACACTCTCTCAACTCTATTACTCTGAAACATGAACCTTGATCAAGGCTGCTATACAAAGAACTAAGTTAAGCACGGTGCTACCAGGGAAAAGGTGGGAATTGAACTACCGCATAATACCTAAACATCACTACCGTATATTACCTAATTCGCTCCTTGCACTTATTTTCAAATTAACTGAACACAGAGGAGTATTAAAAAACTATTTTTGTTCAAAATAACCCCTTTTGATGAAATGACATACATAGCAAATTTTTGTCATTCGTCACAACATATTCTTATTAAGTTTATGCAAAAGAAAAATTCTTGACTGTTCAGCCTGAACAAAATCAATACAATGGCAGATGATCATTGAAAAGTCCAGAGGAGACATTCTAGTTGAAGACAAAATTATTCCAAAGAGACAGCACCCTGCAGAGATTATGGTTTGAGATCAGCTCTGATCTCAAAACTCCACATGTTTATGTTCCAGAGGGGGTAAAAGTCAACTCAGAAGTTTATATTGCATTTTTGAGTGAATATTTGCACAAAAAGTTCAGTCAAAAGCAATGAGTCTTTCATCAGGATTGTGCTCCAGCCTGTCTAGCCAAGAAAATGAATGTCTGAAGTCTTTTATTTTATTAGAAAGTGTTTATTTTTGAACAAAAAAAAGTTTTTAATACTCCTCTATGATAAGTTTATTTGAAAAAAGATGATTTCCAACATAATCTTGACCTTACTCTAATTTACCATAATTTTAAATTTATTTGGGTGTTTTGTGCACCCGTATACATCTTTGCACCAAATTTAGCAAAATACATACTTTTGTTTTGAAACATTTTTCTACATATATATATATATATATATATATATATATATATATATATATATATATATATATATATATATATATATATATATATATATATGTATATATATATGTGTATATATATATATATATATATATATATATATATTCATGTTTTATATATATATATATATATATATATATATATATATATAAAACATGAATTTTAAATAAAAGCAATATATTTAGTGTGCGAAACTTTTACTCACAAAAATAGCTTTTTTTTCAAAACTCACCCCAAGTTCTCCATATAAAACTTATTTACAATTTTTTTAAATATATAACTGTATTTTTAAATATAAAATAAAATTTGTAATTGATATAAAAAATACCTTTATCATGAAAAATATTTCCAAGTTTAATAATGCAACTTTGTGTGTGCAACAAAACATCTATGTGAGAAATGTATTTTTCCCATAAAATAAAAAATATAATATTTTGACATAAATCATTAAGAAAATTGGAAAAAAAAAGTTATAGGGTAAAATAATTATCACACTTAAATCATATAGAAATTCTATATATATTGTTATAATTACAATAATATATAATGTCAATATATAATAAATACCATTTAACTGATGCAATAATGGATAACTTGAAGATTGATCTGCAAGAAATATTGTTTATTACTAAAATATAGTATATAAAACAAATTTTACAATTTTAATATCACAAGCACACTTTTTCTTCACAAAATGGGTCTTAAAAAAATGTTTCCAATTTTAAAATATTTTTTATATTGAAAAGAACATTAACAGGTAATTAGTTGTTCAAAAAAAGTTTTTTGGTGAACTGCAAAAAAAACAAAAAAAAAAAAACAATCTTTGCTTGTAACTGTTTACCATTTTTTATATAAAATAAATGGCAGTTTACCTAAGTGGCCTTGCGTTTAATTAGACACTTTATAATTTATAAAACAACAACATTTTAAAGTATAAAAGTTATATATGAGTTATATAATTTTTATACTGTAATTTCCTCTCCAAGACTGCAGCATTCACTACAGTTAAAAAGGCCACTTATTTTCTTTAAAAAAATTATTGTTAAAAGCCTTTCTCAACCCTTTAACTCCAAACATAAGCCTTGATAACTTCAGGTAACATAATTCCAAAAATAAACCTTGAAAAATTCAAACAACATAACTGAATTAAAAAAATATTTAAGTTTAATTTTTATGTAAAAAATTTTGTTAAATTTTTTACAGACAATCTGTAAAAAAAGTTAACATTTTAATATAAGTTAAAAGCTTAACATAATATATATGTTTTTAATAGTTGAATATATGTTAAAAATTGAACATAAGTTGAAAGTTTAACATAAGTTATAAGTTTAACATAAGTTCAAAGTTCAACATAATCTAAAAGCTTACCATAAATTAAAAAATTTAACAAATTAAAAGTTTAACATAAGTTAAAAGTTTAACATAAGTTAAAAATTTAACATAAACTAAAAGTTTGACATAAATTAAAAGTTTAACACAAGTTAAAAGTTTAACATAAGTTCAAAGTAAACATGTTGTTTAGGTAAATAGCAACTCATTTTTTTTTTTAATTAAAAGAAAGAAATACTTTTTCTTTATGTTAAGTATCATAAACTTTGAACTATTAAGAACATATATCTACAGAGAATAATAAATGGTTATTGCCATAGTTTCCATACCTGAACAACTTTTTTTTAAACACTTTTTTTAAAGATTTATTTACTATCTATTTTGTTATGTTGAAATGATTGACAAATTTTTCTTCTTTTGTTGAATATTTTGATTAAAAAGATATGCTTATTAAAAAATTTAACTTCCTTTTTTTTAACTTTGATTTTATTCTATTTGTAAGTAGAAATATATGTATAGTTGTATTAAGTATAAAAAAGAATGTATATTTTACATAATACATTCAAACTTTTGTAACAATGACGTGCTAACAAGTTTTTTTAATGTTCATAATGTTCTTAAATATTAAACTACTTTAGACTTATTTAAATAAAACAAAACAAAACAAAAAAATTTAGCGAAACAAATAGAGCAAAAACAAATAAAAAAAGCTTTTGGTTTTAATCTGTTTTTGACATTTTGATTTCAAATTAAAGCAAACTGATGTTTTGCTTATTTAATACGACATACATTTATATGGATCAAGTAATATTTAAATTCCTAAAACTTTTAAATTATAAAATTACCATATAGGTGTCTTGCCTAAATGGTAGTTTTATAAATTATATATATTTTTTATAACTTTTAGGTTTCTCAGCCAGCTTATGCAGTTATCAACCAAGTATTAAGTTACTAAAATTAAACTGTTGAAAATGCAACTGAATCGATGAAAACACAAAAAATTCAACATGGTTGCATAACTAACCTTGATTTAATTTTTTCATGTTTTCTAATTCAGAATATGCTTCAGACAGCTTCCCTAAAAACAAGGAATTTAGTAACACTTTAATTTCTCTTAAATAAACTTTAATGGTTAATAAACATTATAAGCTAATATTTTAGTTACAGAATTAAAAAAAAACAACAACAAAATACAAAAACAAAATAATTTAAAAATTGTAAATATTTTTATGTGTTGTATTCTAATTTATATTATAAACTTATATATATAAACTTTAAAAAAATTTACAAAAATTATATATAAATTTTATATTTTAATTTTAGATAAAAAATCACAGTTACCTATAAAACATAAATAATACCTTTAAGAACTTGAATATATGCACTTTTATTTTGAACCTCTTTTTCCAAAGTAGCATGATCTATAACAATAAGAGAATATTTTTCAATTGAGATGAGAATTAGTCAGAGAGATGAGTTTTCTTAAATGAGGTAAGTGTTTGTCAGAAAAATCATAATAACAAAAATTATTGATCATAATAATAAAAAAAGAGTTTAGTACATATATCAACAATAATTGTCAATGAAGGTACTAAAACCATCTGTATTACATATAAAACAAACAAGTTTTGAACTAGACAATATACAAATTGAAAAAATATAACTTTACCAGAAGCAAAAGGTATAACCTTTTCTGTATCTAAATATTGCAGAAATAAAAATATATATATATATTCAAATATAACACAATATTTTTTATTATTCACATGTTTTATAATATAAATATTAAATTTTTAAAAGGCTTATTTTTAAAATAAAATTTCTAGAACAAATATTAAAAAAAGAAGACTATACATACAAAATATTAAAGGAAAAGAAATATTCATATTAAACCAATTAAATGATTACAAAAATGAATAGATAAATAACTAATCAATATAACCAAAATTAAAATAAAATAAACTGGCAATTAAATAAATAAGTTAATAGTATAATCAAAAGTTTTTTTATTAAGTGATTTTCCATTTAATGTAGAACAATTCCACGACCGTGACAACCATCTTTTTTTTATCTTGAGCCTTCAATATTTTAACATTAAAATAGATAAAAAATATTTTTTTTTTTGCTTTTTAGATCATAATAGTTGCTACAAAAAATAAGAAAAAAAATTTGGGTTGATATATTAGCCTCTCATTCATGCAAGAAAATATAAAACGTCACAGCGTGACCAATTTTCTTTTTTTCAAAATTTTTAGACATTACTCTTACAAGTTTTATAGCTAAATAACATTTTTTTAAATTAAATTTCAAACAGGCACACCTTTAATTAACTAGTGGTAGACGTCACAGCGTGACCAGACACATTTTGGTAATTATAAACCAGGTAAATGGGCCGTTTTTAATAAATTTAAAACTTAGTAGAGAGGTATTAGACATATATATAATTAAATCTTCATAAAAATAGTTCTTACATAGTTATCTTCAGAACACGTATACTAAATCAGTGTCAAATCGCGTCAAATCATGTTGCTGTCATATATACAATGTGATTTATATATAATAAATTATATATTATAATAAATATATATATAAAATAAATTAGAGCTGCAAGGCTGAGGTAAGAGACTGCCTGTTTATTTGAAATATAGAGAGTTTTTAAATATTTTTGTAGTTTTTATATTAATATTGTTTACAGGGTATTATTAAAGCCCTGCTCATTTTTTAAAATAAAAATGGAAATAGAGTATTTTAAAATTTTAAAAACTTTAAAATACTCTATTATTGTTTTAAATAAAAATATCCCATTTTTATTTAAACCTATTTAAATTATTATGAAACTTTAAAGGATAAAAAAGTAGTGTGTTTTGAAGAAAGTAACAACTTTTAGGACTCATAACAAAGCCAGATTGTTCAAAAAATAAAATTTCTCCCTAATCTAATAATGTTAATAATCTAATATACATATAGAATACACAAATATACTAGTACATAGTATTAGCATGTTTTCATAATTTTTTGACACTTATTTCTGCAGGTATCAGAAGTTACAGTTTGAAATTTTGATAGTTACCTTCCGCTTTAGCAATTTCTTTTTCTTTTAATGCTGCCATAGATTGATCAAGCTTTTCTGTCATTAAAAAAATTTTTTTTTTTTTTTTAAACTATTATACAAACAACAAAAAGATACATACTTACAAATAAATATTATAATACAAATAAATATATTAAGATATAAGCAATACATATAATATTGTTTACACTCTTAAATTTTATTTTTAAATGTTTAACAAAATGTTGGTTGTTTCCAACAAACCCTTTTTTTTTCACCTTATATATAAGCACCAACTTAATTGAACTTCACAGCTTTGTCATAAACTACACTCTGTCATAAATGGTGTATATTGTCATCAAACTTTATGTTCCACTTTGATTAAAAAAAGCGATGAGCCCAAACAACAGCTTCAAAAGCTATTGTATATTAAACATTACAAAGTGATATAACTCTTGCCATTTTTAATATTGTTAACATAGATTGAGAAAAAAACTCTTTCAAAACATTATAAGTAAACAACACTAACTTGATTATATAATGTAAGCTCTTTGCTTAAGATGCTGTGCTCTATCAATAAATGAGTCAAGTTCTCTTTAAAACTAAATCATGTCTTAAGTAACCCAAAATATTAAACATAAAAAATCATCACCACAACCTAACTTTTTCAACATATCTTTCACAAATACTTGTGGTCTTTGAAGTAACCTTTCATCAGTTGAATATTGCCTATTGCCTCTTCCGTCAGTTGAATATTGCTTCTTGCAAAATTTATCAGACTTGCTCGCTATTTGTATATATTTAAATTTAGCTTCTTTTGATTAATTTAAATTTAGCTATTTCTTTTTCAGATCTCAATAGGATGTATACTATCCTTTGATTCACAAAAACTCTAATAGCTACATGGTTGGCTTTGGGGTATACTTACAAATCAATTCACCTATTTGTCGAGAAATCAGGTTTGAATCCTCTGACCATTCTTTTATATTTTTGCACATCCAAATTGTCACCTACAACATTATTGCCTTAAATCTAATTTCTAAAATGCAAAATCAATTAACTATTTTTGAAGTAAATAGAGAAATAATAGAACAAAATATTGTGAAAAACTGAAGAACTGCTACAAATGTATATTGTGAAAAACTGAAGAACTGCTACAAATATATAGACCAATTGCAATTAGGCTGTGTGACCGTTGTACTATAAGTAAAAGTGCTATGATATGGATTTGACCCTTAAGCATATAAACTTCCAATTTTTGTTAAATTCAAAGAAGAAGCTACTTTAAAAGTTTAAGTTTCTAAATAACATTGTTCAAACCTTATGAATGGTCTCACTTAACAATTGTGTGAACATTGCTCAAACCTTATGAATGGTCTCACTCAACAATTGTGTGAACATTGTTCAAACCTTATGAATGGTCTCACACAACAATTGTGTGAACATTGTTCAAACCTTATGAATGGTCTCACTCAACAATTGTGTGAACATTGTTCAAACCTCATGAATGGACTCACTCAACAATTGTGTGAACATTGCTCAAACTTTATGAATGGTCAAAATCTCACTCAATAATTGTGTGAAATTCAAATTATCTAATCCAAAATCTTTAAAAAATTTATAAGTTTACTATTGATAACAATTAGCATGAAACTGTTAATCTATGTGTAATTAATTTAGTATTAGACATTAATTTATTATGAGACACTAATTTAGTATCAGACATTAATTTAGTATCAGAATTATTCCCTATCATTTATTATAATTTAGTATCATGATATTAAAATTAAAAGAATGATAGACTTTTTATATTTCCTTTAAATTTACTTGTAACATTTAAAAAATTAAAAACATTTGCAACATGGTTTAAATACCTTTGATAGCATTTAATTGTTGCTTGGTGAAATCACATTCAGCTTGGAGAGATTCAACCTAAAATATTTAACAATAAAAAATAATATATTGTTGTTAAATGGTCAACATTTCAGTTACAAACCAAATATTAATCTGAACTAGTTTATTCACATTTAGTCACCATGGTGAAATATAAATACAAATATGCAATTAAATATTAATCAACTATTTTAAAAATTACTCACATCAACAGCCAATGCACTACCTCGTCTTTCTGCAAGATCCAATTGTGCTTTGAGGTTTCGATTATCTTTTTCATACTAAAATAATAGTCAATAAACATAATTAAATAAAGTTGTTAATACTATTATAATATGTTTGTTCTTTTTTGCATGCATGCAAAAAAAATATATATATAATATCTAGTTTATTGGATAAAGTTAAATTTAGGGAGTTGAGTCTTGCATTTTGAAGTTTAGTGTAGAGGACTTTTTATAGTAAAGTTTTTATAGTAAAATTTGTAGTAAACACAAAAAAAATATAATATTAGTACTTAAATTGCTTGAACTTATACTTTTTTAAGAGATCAAGCAATCTCAAAACAAGAAATCAAGCTCTCTCAAAAAAAGAGACTCCGCTCTCACTAAAAAAGCTTAGTGCTTAGACACATATTATTTCTCTGTAGGCTTTGCAGGTTTTGTGTGCTGAGAGAGGAATAAAGATAAATAAAAAAGTAAAAGCATGAATCCTAAAGATAAAAACTTCACAAATGGTGCAGCTTCAAAAACCTTGTCTTTATTTAAAATACTCATTTAAAAAAGTGCAAGTCCTATTTCAATAACTAAAACAACAAAAACCATTACTAAAATAAACAGAAGGAAAAAACACTGTATTAGCTGAGCAGAGCCACAACAACAATTATGTTAGGCTGTCTACACTAGTTCCTAGATACACTAGTTATTAAGTTGAACTAGAAACACTAGAATTCAAAACATACTATGACAGAAAATGAAAAAAGTTAAAATAAATAGTTTTGTATACACATAAACAATCCTAGATCCTATAAACATAAAAAAATCACAAATGACAAAAAAAAATCACAATTTTCTTAAAGACAAGTAAGAATGTTTTTTGGTTTTAGATTTTAAAATATATAAAACATTTTTGTAAAAATTAAATGTAAAAAATTTTCAGCACAGAAAAATTGTAAGAAAAAAGTTTTGACAATTGAGGCAGCTCTTAAAAAAAAAAAAATGAAACATTTTTATATTTAAAAGTTTTATTTTATTCGCTAAAATATTAGATTGTTAAGGTATGCATGGTTAAAACAATGAAAACAATTTCTGTGTGTACTTTATATACAAATATTGTCTGGTTTAAACAATAAAAATAATTTCTGTGTATTTTACAAATCAGATAGTTAGCAACAACTTTTGGCAGAGAAATGACGAGAAAAACTTTTACAGCAATTTACATGGTAACTCCATAAGAATAAACTACTTCTTTGTCTGCATATTCTTAAAATACTGTTTTGCTTATCTTATGATCAAGAAAAAATACATACTTGTTATGAAGGCTTGTAATGAAGTAATAAGTGAACAATATCTTCTCAGATTATTTTCAATTCTATAAATCCAACTTTGCAAGAAAAATATTGATTTTATTGATTGGCAAAGTAACCTAATTTTTGAAATCCTGATATTTGCTGACAATTTGGTTTATGAAAGTGGCTTTGTGTGGAAAGACTGAAAGACTTGAAATGTAGAACATTTTATAAAATTAGTGACCCAAGTGTTCCTCAGCTTGTGGGATATTTGTGATATATGAGTTTGTGCAAGAGTTCATTCATTCAAAGCTCAATTAATTACATAGTGCTCGTGCTATGTTAAGACAACTTTCCCACACTATTGCAAAACAAATGAACAAATTTTACATAAAGCAAAGACATACTCTAATTGGTGTAGATCTGTATGTATAAAAAAATTAAATTTAGTCGGTATTTTATTTTAGAGAACATTTAATTACTTGGCTCAACTTTTCTTCATCTTTTGCAGTCAACAACTTTAAATCTGTCAGTTCGTTGCTTTGCTGTTAAAAAAAATTATATATATATATATATATATATATATATATATATATATATATATATATATATATATATATATATATATATATATATATATATATATATATATACATATACATATATATATATATATATATATATATATATATATATATATATATATATATATATATATATATATATATATATATATATATATACATATGCATATATATATATTATTGACATCTTAATAATATGATGAAATTTATATATAAAACTGAAAGCACATCATTTACGGTGACATACTATTTATTTAACGAAATTAAAATATATATATATGTATGTGTATGTATGTATATATATATATATATATATATATATATATATATATATATATATATATATATATATATATATATATATATACATATGTATATATATATATAATGACTAGTTCAAAAAAAAATTTTAATAGTGAGTATCTAAATATTTAGTTGTTAACTGAAGAAAAAAATAAATCCTTAAAATTTCAAAGCATTATTCCAATATTTATTAACAGCTCAATAGACTTTATTTTTTAACGGGGTCCTAATACTTAAAAAAAAAGTTTTTTAAAAGTAGGTCAACCTGGTACTCAAAAGAAGCAAAATATTATATAAATTTAAAAAATAATAATCATTTTATAAAAAATATATTAAAAAATTATTTTTTAATGAAAAACTTGTAAAAATGAAACTTTTCATTTCTAGTTAAAAAATCATAGTTTTTATGCAAACAAATCTAAAATAATAATTGCAGTATAAAATTATTTTTTTTTAAACTTATATATTATATTGCTACTTTTAAGACCCAACATGACACTTAAAAAACTATTTTTATTAATATTAGGGACCTATTGAAAAATAAAGTAAATTAAGCTATCCCTAAAACACATTATTTAGACTTGCACATCAAATCAAAGGGTAGTCAATTAAAGTTCAAAAATTATTATTTTAAAATATAATTTTGAAATGGTCTAACATTTATATTTATTCATACACATGAATATATATATATATATATATATATATATATATATATATATATATATATATATATACATACATACATACATACATACATACATACATACATACATATATATATATATATATATATATATATATATATATATATATATATATATATATATATATATATATATGTATATATACATATATACATACATACATATATATATATATATATATATATATATATATATATATATATATATATATATATATATATATATATATATATATATATATATATATATATATATATGTATATATATATATATATACATATATATATATATATATATATATATATATATATATATATATATACATATATATATATATATATAATATAATAAAAAAGCATTTAAACATTAAAAATTAACCAGCTTGTGCACTTCAATTAGCTGCTGAAGTTCTTTTTGTAAATTATGTTGAACCATTTTAAGGTGAGTGCACTCTTCTTCAGTATTCTTCAATATTCGCTAAAATATTTTAAAAATAATTTTTAAAATATTAAAATTCTATATTCCTTAAAGGTAATGAGAAACAGAAACAGGTAAGGTTAACAAAAAACTTTATTACACAATATTTTCCATAAAAATGTTATTTAAGAGAAAAAATTTTAAGTTATTTTTAAAAAGTTGGATATGTTTTATTATTATCAGGAGGTGTTTTAAGTCAGTTTTACTAATGTTGTGCAGATGTTAAATTCATACGGCTACTGTCATGTAGAAGGCCTCCTAGGCAAAGGGGTAAACAGATTCAATCTTATCCTTTAAGTCTTATCTATAAGGCTGTCGTAGATATATTCATAATACATTGTTTCCAGTTTAGAATGTTGAATGCTGGATTTTCTTGACTCAATGCATGGGTTTTGTTAGTGTCTCTATTTTTATGACAAGACAACTTGTTGGCGACTGTTGGTGATTATAAAGTTTCCTGATTATAAAGTTTCCTAATGAGAGTACAGCTCAAACACTCAGATTTATGGTTCTGAGGCCAACTGGTAACCAAGTTAGCTCTTAAAGAGGCAGATTCCATCAACAACTGTAAAATATCAGAGTACTAACCGCGCCATGTTGCGCATGGATGGTGTCCCTGTTTGTACTTTTGATGTGTCTAGGCCACATTTGAAACCCTTTGTTACAGCCTAGGGTTTATTTATAGTAATGAGGCAATTGCAAATTTGAAAATGAATCAATTTCCAAAAACTATAAAAGAAAAAACCATCGTCATCACTAAGTTCTCTAATTCTATCATTCAATAATATTTGAGTAGCTTTTCTTCTGTTGAGTCTTATCTCTTGCAAAGTTCACCAGATCTGCTTGCTCTTTGTGAGACTAATTTGAGTTAAACTGTGATCTTAGAGTTGATGGTTATCTTCCTTTAATTTCTAATGGCTCTAATGGTCACATGCTTGGCCTGGCATTTACATTTGTAAGATTTCACCCATTTGTTGGGAAACTAGGTTTGAATCCACAGACTATTCTTTTATGCGCATTATGCGTTTAGCACCACTTCACTATATCGCTTTTATCTTAGTTCTATATTTCTCTCCTTTATTTCAAGACTGCACTCTTTTTGATGTTACTTCTGATCAAATTGACTGAGCTATTTCTCTTTCTTCTTCAGCCAATATTGTTGTCATTAGTGATTTTATTGCTCATCACAGTGAATGACTTGATTTGTTTAAGTCCATGACGACAAGCATTAAGACTCGACAACTATCCAACTTGCTTTCCAGACAATCCAAATCATTTACCTTCTATATTCAACTTATGTCTAGTAAAATCTCTCTAAATCTAATATGATCCTAGGCAGTTCTCAGTTTCTCAAAATTTATCCTAAGATGCTTCTGATCACGATTTGATCTCTCTAAAACTATTATCTCATTTTTCTTCATCATCAGAATCCCACTATCATCATACCTCTTACAACTACCTTAAAGCTGACTGGGGCTCTTTCCGTGATTTTCTTTGTGATGGCCCTTGGGTAAAAATCTTTTGCCTTCCTGCTGACAAATGTACTTCTAACACAACCTCTTGGATTCAGGCTGGTGTGGAATCTTTTATTCCCTATGAACGATTCCAGGTCAAAGATTTAATTCATATTTTATCTAAAAAATAAGGCTTTTATGACTTCTGGAGAACAAGGTACTGTGAGGATCTTTGTGATTCTGGAGAATCTTTAACAGTACCTTGTAAAGATTCTGTAAAGGGAAAATCTATTATTCCACCTCTCTTGTATGGTTCAGATTTTATCACACCAGATGTTGTCAGAACTTTTCATCAATATCATCTCTTGATTCCACTAGTCGCATTCTACCTGATATAGCCAACAAACAGGTTAATCCATTGCCTGACCTTCATATCAATTCAGCTTCTGTATCTAAAGTGATTTCCTGACTCATCTACAGCTTGTGGTCCAGACAACATACCTGTTATAGTCTTGTAGAAGTGCTCTATGGAGCTGTTGTCTATAATTTTAAAACTACTTAACGAGTGCTTATTAGAGCCTTGTTTTCCAGCCTGCTGGAAAATGGCATCAGTTATCCTATTTTCAAAAATTTTGAAGAGCGATCTGACTAGTCCTACTACTGCCCTACTAATTTTCTTACTATCATAAGCAAGATCTTTAACTAACAATTATTTAATCTCTCATTTTGAATCTAATAACTTTCTGATCATCAATATGGATTTCGATCTTCTTGCTTTTTAACAGTAATAACTGATAGGCTTTATTGGGCATTAGATAGATGTGGAGAGGCTAAGGCTACGCTATTGACATTTCTAAAGCCTTTGATAAAGTTTGGCATGCTGGTCTTCTCTATAAGCTCTCTTTTTATGGTGTATCAGGTTACATCTTTAAGATTATTGAATCCTTTCTTACTAATCATAGTATAAAAGTTCATAGTATGAACAGGACTCTTCTTCATATGTAACTTCTGGGATTCCTCCTAGTTCTATCCTTGAACTGACACTTTTTTTGATTTACATTAACAGTCTCCCAGAAATTCTTATTTAAGGAGGTATTGTTTGCTGATGATACTACCATTTATTTTTATTATGATAAGAAACCAACACTCTCTGATTGCTTGGAGTGGGCATTTGAGATTGATAAGGATCTCACTTCTACTACAGCATGGGGCTCTCAGTGGCTGGTGAACATTAACTCAGATAAAACTCAAGTTTTTTCAGCTAGTTATAATCGTAATAATCTATATCTTCCGATATCTATGAACGGAATGTTCTCAATGAGTCATCTACCCTTCATCTTCAGGATTAACTCTTACTTCTAATCTTTCTAGGAAACCATATATCAAACCGAATGCAAAAATTAGCATGTACTAATGTTGCATCTCTTTATAGTGCTCACCACTTTCTTACTCCGGATTTTGTTCTTTATCTCTATAAATCCCAAATCCGTTCTTGTATGAAATACTGTTGCCATATCTAGGGCAGATCTTCCAATGAATCCCTTTCTCTTTTAGACAAGGTGCAAAAACGAATTGTAAACATAGTTGCACCTGTTCTTGCAGCCAACCTCCAACCATTATCACATCGTCATAATGTTGCTTCTCTTTCTCCTTTCTATAAATACTATAATGGGTACTGCTCAAAAGAGCTAGCATCATTTGTACCATCTACTAAAGTTCATTCTCCTGTTACTCATCATTTAATTAAGTCTCAGCATTTTAATATGACTGTTCCTAAGTGTTCCAAAAATTTTTATGTCTAGTTTTTTTCCTCAAACATCAGTGTTTTGGAATTCGCCTCCTTCATCTTGTTTTCCGGCTTCATATAATTTGCAATCTTTTAAGTCGTCTGTTAATCGTTATTTTGCACAATAAATTTTATATTTTCTCTTTCAGTAACTTTCAACTCTAATAGTGGTTGATTCAGGGTTGGCAAAAACACCGGGTTTTCGCCAACTTTTTTGCTTAAAAACACCGGGGGATGTTTAGGTTAATTGTTCAGTCAACAGCAATGACGATGCAATGACCAACATTTATTTCTAAATTAGTTACTACAACAACAAGTATTCAGAAGAATGAACTGGATTTTTTTTTCAACAAATATACTATTCAACATAGTAGAAAACCTTGACTTTATTAAGCTGTTTAAAAAAAGTTAGACCTGGGAAAAATGCGAGCCCCCATATAGAAAACAGATAACTTCAGAACTTTTAGTAAAGGTAATTGAAGGAGTAATCAATATAATGAAAAATGATCTTGATGATGATTGTGCTGTCATTGCTCATAGTATTCAAGACAATGCAACTTTATCTGAGTACAAAGATGATATTTTAAAGGTTTAAGAAAGCAATCGTTCCATGTAATTTTCTGGCCAATTTTACAGATCCAAAATATAAAGGTAACTATAAAACTAAAAACTTGCATCTGATCAAATTTTAATTTAAAATTTTAGTTTAATTTTACTACTCTTTATAACGTTCTCAATGATATAATTTATTCAATGATAGTGTAAAAAGCACAGAATCAGGAAAAAATTGGTGAAGAATTATAGAAGGAAAGTTTTTCAAAATGTCTGCAAATTTAGCAAGATTTTTTTGACAGTTGCACACACAGATAGTCCTTTAAAAGATTTTTCTCATCCTTTGGCATTATTTGGAGCATTTTTGAATTGATTTGAATCATTTAGGAAGAGGAAAAGCAAAAATGCTTGCACGAATTTACATACAATAAGATCAAAACGCACAATTGCTGATGACTAAATTGTTAGATTTAAATCTAATTAAGACTAAAAACCCATTAAGTTGGGTTTTTGGTGGGTTTTTGTGCTTGAGTTTTTAGGTGCCAACCCTGGGTTGCTTGCAGCCTTGTTGGAAGTGAAGATGTTAAAAAAAATATTTCATTTTTGTAAAAAAGAACCATTTATTTTCATTGTTCAATTTTTAATTGTTTAATTTGCCTCTAATATTTATTTAAATTCAGTGGCGATAGGATAACCTTTAGGATAAATGGATTTAGATTATCAATAGTTGGATATGATAGATAGTTATAACAAACACTACTTTCTACTTCTCATATGAACAAGAGTAGATACAGCAAACTTTGTTTCCTGTATCTACTCTTTGTATTCCTTTTCTACTCCTTATATTTAAAAGCCCAAATAATCTGAATTTGAAACATGACCTGGAAAAAATAACCTTTAAGTTATAAATGATTTTTATAAGAAATTAATAATGAGAGTTCAAAAGGAATTTGAAATTACTGTTACTGGAAGTAACAGTAATTTCAAAAAAGTTACTGGAAGTTCATATTATCAGGAAACTATCACTTCTTTTTTTTTAAATGTTAATTCACCTCCCCAAGGCCGAGAAAGCCACTACAGTCAAGGAGATTATTATAATTATGGTTACAACCCTCTCTTAACTCCATAACTCTGAAACATGACGAGCAAGGCCGCAGAGAAACAAGTTGAGCGCGGCACTACCAGGAAAATGGTGGGGATCAAACTCGGAACTTCTTGCTTATGAGGCAAGCGCTCTATCGCTACCACATATTCTTTTATTGTATCAAGATTAAGCATTATTCTTACTGATTTCACTAATTTAATAAATTTTTTTATTAATATTGTTAATTCAAAAACCTTTCTTTATAATATTGGGAGTTTAAGCAAAAATTAGAATTTTATATGCTTTTATAAATGCGCTGTTATGAATAAGTTTTCATTAAAGATTTTAGCCATTTCAAACTTTAAAACAAAAGTATACTTCTGTATCAGCAAGTTTTGATAAGGCTTCAGCTTTTTCGACCAGTATTGATTGCAGATTTTCCTTAAAAGAAAATAAAAATGTAAAAAGCAACAACAGCAAAAAACCAAGTTTAAAATTTTTAAAAAAAAACCTTTGTAGTAGTCTCATAATGCAACTTTTCTTCTTGATATTCAACTAATTTTTGAACTGCCTCATCATTTGTTATATCCTAGAGTAAAAGTTCAATTAAAAATTAACACAAAACACACATAATACATTCATACACAAACATACACACATATATTTAAATAAAATTACATATGTATATATATATATATATATATATATATATATATATATATATATATATATATATAACACAAACATTAAATCAAAACGACTTACTTTTGTTGCTATTTCAAGTTGATTTTCAAGAGTTTCAAGACGAGATAAAAGTTTGTCTTCTTTTATGAAACCCTTTATAAATAAATAAATTTATATATATGTATATATATATATATATATATATATATATATATATACACAGAGTGAGGCAATTTTAAGAAAGGACTACTGATTTGCATTGCTATTTGTTACAGATTTTTGATGTCCAGGAGCTCCAAAACTATTGAGAGACTAAATTGAGAAACAATATCATAGGATCTAGAGTTTTGGAACATATAATTTTTGGTCATGGAATTGGTCATGCCATTTAAGATAAGGACTACAGGCTTAATCAAAACTAAAAATAAAACATTTAGAGAACTTCCTCTTCCCTGCAATTATTGCCCTATACAATATTTGATTTTTTACCCTCTAAGTAATCTATAAGTCTCTCAACATTTTTAAAACACTAAAGATCAATTTTTTCCTGGACACCAAAGAAGAGAAATAAACAAAGGTTTTGTGACTATCAAAATTTGGATTTTTTTGAGTCTTTTTGAATTTTGATTCATGAAAATGCATGTATATATATATATATATATATATATATATATATATATATATATATATATATATATATATATATATATATATATATATATATACAGACATGAAATAAACCTTTAATTTGAAAAAAATAAGTTAAAATAAGAATTAAATAAAATGTTTGCTTGTTTAATTTTTTTTAAACTTTGAGAAAATAAAAATAAGCAAAAAATGATAAAAATAAAAAAGGAAAATATTTAATAGAGAATTAAAATTGTTAATAGAACCAACAAAAATGTAGGAAAAAATACTGAAGAAAAGATGTTAACATAAAAAAGTCTTTAAAAATTTCAATTAGGGACAAATCAAATAAAAGAGTTTAGAGAAGGTATACAAGTATAATGGAAATCATGGCAAGTTGAACAAGCTTGATTTTCTATAAAAGAATAAAATAACTGACTTATAGCAAAGTTAACAAACTATACATCTCTAAAATACTTTTTTATGCAAAAAGCAACTAAAAGTACTACATAAAATAAAGAAAATAGATTCAAGAAACATAGTTATGAAATGAAATTGATATATAATGTTCAAGTAAATGTAGAAAAAAATGAAATAATATAAGAATACTAAAATTAAAAAAAAAAAAAAATCAAGAATATTCTACTACGTATATTTAGCCCTTTGGAATTAGGTAAAAAAAAATGTTGGCAACTTATTGCCAAACCAAAATTTATTGCTTTGTGTCAAAAAAATTTGACACAAAGATTTTACCATAAAAAAAACAAACTTGACGATTTTTTCAACAGTTAGATCATCATTGCCAAATGCCAATCCTGATTCCGAGTGCTGTATATTAGATGTAAAAATGCTATTAATTTTAAGCTAGTTAAGTTCATTCATAGATATAAACTTTACCATCTGCAAAGTTTGTTATTAAAAAAATTTTGACAACGACTAAATATAATTTAGTATTAAACAAAATCTAACTTTAAAATTAAAAACATTTTCTTTAATAAAAGAAAGTTTTAAATTTTGCAGAACTTTTGTTTGTAATTATAAAACTAAACACATTACTGAATTTATAAAAATAATAAATACTAAATTCTAAATAAATACTAAAAGTTCCATCTGGAGAAACTTTTAAATTTTATCATTACTAGTTTACATCTCAAAACTACAAGTGAAAAGTTATTATAATATATGAGTAGAACTAAAAAGAATATAAACATACTACAAATATATACTGTAAGTATATTATAAACATAAATAAAATTAAAAACAGTAAAGTCATTAAGATTTGTTAGAAAAATATTCAAATCACCTGAAAAGCATCATGGGAAGTAGAGTGAGATTCTACAATAAGTTGCTGCAGAGTTGAAAGTTTAGACTCCAGCTGTTGTTCACGATACACTGCATCCTTTAAAAATAAAAGTATTATATTAGAAAGACTCTATATAATGTTGTGAACTGAAGAGTTTGTTTTAATTGAGTTAAAACACAATATTACACAAGCAGTATTTTTAGTGGCATAATTATTTGATTAGAGAACTTTAGTTATGTACCATACTTCAACAGTTGTGCAATTAAACCACCAATAACAAAACATAAATATTTTATCATATGAAAAATAACATCAATATAACTAAATACAATTTATAGTTTATAAGATACAACAACTCTAAAGTATGTTTAGAATTTCTTTCTTAATCAAAAAAATAAGTTTAATATGTTTAATAATTTTCTAAACAATTTCTAAAGTTAAATGGACAGCACTAAACAGACAGCTTGTATACACTAAAGACTTTTACACTAATTGACTTTGTTAACATCACTACAGACTACAGCTTTAATCACGGACAATAGTCACGGACTATTATTTGACTATTAAACATAATACCTAAATAATTTCTATACAACTAATGAATGAAATTATTTTATAAATTATTATTAAATCACCTGCAAAAACTGGCACAGCTGCCATAAATCTTGAGGTAGAAAATTTTTTTCATCCTAAAGTTATAACAAATATAAATGTTAAAAATAACATTTATAAATAACAAATATAAATGTTAAAAATAACTTCTATTTTAGTTTAAAAACTAAAAACATGAGCTAAGAGTTATTAATATTCATGTTGATAAGTTCTAGAAAAGAAAATCAATTGTTTTCATTTGCTGGGTGTCATTAACAATATCTATTTTAATATTTCACACGGTTAATCCTGCAATTACAAATAAGTTCATTGCCTTTGAGCTACAATTTTAAAATCTTTTACAACTAAATCTTTTAAAAGTGAATTAAAAAGAGACTTAAAACTATTTCAAGCAAAGACAAAAATTTTTTGAAAAGAATCTTTTGTTGATCTTTTCAAAAAAAAATTGTAAAATTATTTTTTGAAAAGATCAGGTAATAACACAATTAAAAATGTTACAACAAAAGTTGAAAAGAAAAAAAATTAAAGTTTTTAGAAACTACAAAAACTAAAAGAGTATAAATATTGCAAAATAGAATCAAAGAAACTTTTTAATTCAAAATTAAAACAGTATGAACATTTTTTTGTGTGAAATTAATAAAAATAGAAAAACTAAAATGAATCAAGTATACAAAACATTGTGTATTTTAGACACAAAAAAAACAATCTTTTTTTTTTTTTAATTAAAAAGCTAAAAAGAGTTTTAACCATATAAATTTTATGGTATGTTCATGATTAAACTAAAAAAAACAGTGAAAAGTCAAAAAAATTAATAAGACCTTACAAAGAAATCTATGATGAACTTAACTTTTCTTTAAAATATCATAAAATGAATCTGATGATTAAGAAGTAATTTATTTAGAACAACTAATCAAAAAAAGTTGAATACCAGGTAGCACATTCTTAATTCTATAGAAGCTATAAATTTATAAGAATTAAATAACTCATTTTAGATTTTCACAAAAATCTTGAAAAAAAGATTACCATTAGTAACATTTTTTATAAACTGTAAAAGAACATCAGCATCTAATTTTGTGCAGAGGTACAAACTTATGAAAACAATACTAAGTGCCTTAAGAAAATCCTAAATAGCACCTAGTTTGTTAAACAACCTATAAATAATAACAAATTTATGGAGCAACTCCTAAATAATGCCAAATTTATTAAGTAACCCCTAACCAATATTGAGTTTGTTCAGTAATCTCTACACAATATCATTAAGCAACTTCTAAATACAATATTATCGAGCAACCTCAAAATAATATCGAGTTTATTGAGCGATTTCTATACAATATTATTGTGCAACCTCTAAAATGGCTATTTGATTAAGCAATGCTATTGTAAGCTTCAAACAAATAAACAACTAGTTAAACAAATGAAAGTACCAAAAACATTGAGAGAATTCCTTTTGGTGTTTCTTCCGTAGAACTAAATTAAAAAAGAATATATTTCATTTTATACAATATTTAACAATAATTTTTCTATTATTTTCAAAGATTACCTAATTTTTCATTTTTCAAAGTTATTACAAACATCACAAATTTAGTTTCTATCAACATTGAGTTGTTCATGATGGTGCTGTACCTTATTAAAAGACATTTTGGATAGCTAATAATGAACTAACAGAACAGTTCCATGTAATCTATAAATATTAATAACTTAACGCTTTCTATGAATGCTCACCATTCATGCTCACCAACGTTAAATACCTTACCTTTAAAGAAGTTAAAAAAAAATCTGTTTGCTTTTATATAAAAAACTAGATCGTTTGTTTTTCCAAGTTGTTAAACATTTATTATACGAGGTATGTCATTAAACAAAAATAAGGTTGTATTTGTAAAGTTTCTAAATTATATATTTTTCTTGATTTATATATTTTTATATAGATTAATTTATAGTTATGTGTTATTTATGTTTATGTGTTTAGGTTATATGGGTTTATATTTTGTAAGTGTGTAAATATAATTTATGTGTTTGTAAATATCTTTTTAAATTGTTGTGACTTAGCTTAGTTTACAGCAAGTGTGTTGATTTTGCTAGCCAAGTGGTGTACTTTGCTATAATGTGACTTGGCTTTGTTGGGAGCAAGATTGTTGTCCACGCCAGTTAAGTGGTGTACTGCAATACACCACTTAACTGGTGTGTAACAGTACTGTAACAGTACTGTTACACACCAAACAGTAACAGTACTGTTATGATGAAATACATAAATTAAATCTGTTTGTAGTTAGTGTAGTTCAAAGAATGTGTTTATAAGAAATGTTGAAAGATATATAGTTTTTTAATATCTGTAATAATTTTCTTAATATTTATAATTTTAAGTAACTTTTATTGAACAAATATTATACTTCATTAAATAATTTTTATACTGTTAGTTTTTGAGTAAATTTATTTAAAAGTATACAGAATATATATTATGGTATAAAAATTTGTATAAAAATGTACATAATATATATTGACTTTTTTTCTTTAGAATATTAGATATCTAAAAAAATTTAAATAGTTAAACAAGTTTCAATATTTCCAAGTTTCTTCACTTAAAGCAAATATATGATGGTTTATAGAGGTTTTCTTTTATTAGTTTTGTATTTACTTATTTATTGCAAATCTTGCATTAAATGCGTTTTAAAGTAATGAAAGGGTTTTCATGACGAATGATTACATTTTATCCATATAGTTTTATTACTTATAGATTACATTTTATCCTTATAGTACTTGCTGAGCAGACAGGCCTTATTATTTTTAATTTGCTTTATTTATGAGTTCTTAAATGTAAAAAATTTGTTTTTTAAATTACTTTACTTTTGTTTTTTTGATTAAATACTAATAATATTTTGTCAATAATTAATAACAACTAACTTAAATATGTAACAATACTCAGTTTAAAAGATTATATCAATTTATTTATAACTTTAGTTTAATCTTTTAATAAAAGTATGTTATCTTAACACATTGTTATATATGGTAGAATATAAAAGGTTATTATATTATGCTCTATATTATTTGCTTACACTTTATTTTAGATTAGTTTAAAAAAGAAAACTCAATTTTTTATTATATTAGGCATAATTTTTACACACCTTTGATGCATGATTATGTCTGATAATTTAAGAAATAAAATTATTAGACTTCGTCAAAATGAAAAAAGACAGGCTAGACGAGCTGAGATAAACCGCCGTTGGAATGAAAGAGATGAGCCCAGGCGAGCTGAGATAAACCGCAGTCAGAATGAAAGACGTGAGTCCAGGCAAGCTGAAATAAATTGCAATCAAAATTAAATAAATTAGGCTAGGCCAGAACTCAATAGGTATAATATGCATCGCATAGCAAGAAATAATATTGCTACAGAAAGTAATTACCTCAGAGAATTCGATCATAGTTGTCAGTATTGTAGTGCAAAGAAATTTTTAAATAAAACTCATTTTTTGTGCTGTCATTCAGGAAAAGTTGTATTAGCTCCTCTTTCTCTATATCTACCATTGTTGACTGATTTAATGACAGGAAACCATGTTGATCATGCTGTAAATCAAAAAAATTTTAAACACATAAGGAGTTATAATTCCTCTTTATCTTTTGCTTCCTTCACTGCCGAATTAGTTCTTCCCTCAAATAATGGCCCTTTCTGTTTTAGAGTCTGTGGGCAAATTTTGCATTGTGTTGGAAATTTGAGGCCTGCAGAATTTTCCCAAATATTGTCAGTTATATATCTATGATCCTAATGCAGCAGTGTCATTCAGAATGGAGCAACCTGGTAATAATGGTTGTATACGCGAGTTAATGCAACTTTTGCAAACATTAATTAATTATTGAAAACCCATTTGCTCTTGCATTTAAAAACATGGCAGAAGTAGAGTATGAAGAAATCCGCCGAGCAGCTTTAGAAGGTAGACCAACTTCTGTTGTAAGAATGCCTTTGCTTGAAGGTCATGATAGACGTTGATACAATCTTCCTTCCCATGAGGAGGTCGCTATTGTGTTTGTAGGAGATGATGGTGCTCCACCTGCATCCAGGGAAGTTGTTATATACCCTCTAGGTCAGCCTTAAAAAACAATTTCGTCTATGTCTGCAAATTTAGATCCTATGGTATATCCAATAGTTTTCCCGAGAGGTGATGCTGGATGGCACAATCAATTGGAGCACAATCCTGACCGCGCAACCCGTGTTAGAAACCATGTTGCTTTGTCTCTATTATAATTATAAAGAAAAATGTTTTTTGTTTCTTAAGTAAATATCTATATTTTTTTATTTTTAGATTTATTGTTTCAATGGATTGATCATTTTTGCATTGTTTTTTTTATTTTTGTTATTTTTTATTATATATATATATAAACAGAAACCATTTATACTTAAAATCGTATTTTGTACTCAAAGTTTCCATTTGCATTAAATATCGATTAGCACAAACAACATGTTTAATAACTTCGGATGTAAAAACAGCTTAATTGAATGAATTTGTTAACAGTTTTGTTTTTTACAGCAATGTTTTTATTAAAAGTGTCAAACGGATAAAGCTAACTAACTTTAAAATAGCAAGTCTCTTGGGCCCATTATCTAATGTCCAAATTTGTTTTTTAAATAAATCTTGATGAGAGGGTAAAATCTAGATTATAGCTTAAGTTTTCAAAAACACCTGAAGAATTGTTACGTAACTGTCTCTATTATGTTAAAGATCCTTTAATGTATAAAATGGAGTACATTAAGTAAATAAGTACAGTTTCTAAAGTATAAGTATAAGTCAATTGTTTACCAATAATTTCAAATCGACTTATTTTTTGTTGTTTACTTAAGGTATAGAGACCTAACTAGGAACAAGTTTGAAAATAGGATGTGGAATAGAGTTGCCGCGACCCCTATAGTATGGGTCACCACAGCTAATTCCGCAATTAAAACAGTATAGTTGTTAATATATTTCAACAATTATATAAATTTTTTATAATTATATAAATAATATAAGAGTTTTTTTACAAAAACGCAATGGTCACCAGACCTAAAAAAGACCTGTACAAGATGTTTTAAACGCCTTTTTTACATCCATGCCTATAGGAAGGTTTTTATATAACATATCAAACAGATAAAGCTAACTTATTTGAAATAACTAGGTCTCTTGGGTTCATTTTTAATGTCCGAATTTGCTTTTTAAATAAATCCTTATGAGAGAATTAAAATATTATCATAGTCTAAGTTTCACGCAACTGTGTTAAATGCTGAAGATACTTTTATTATGTAGAAAATATTAAAGTAAATAAGTAATAATTTAATAAGTAAAAATACTAATTAGTTCTAAAGAACAGTAAATTAGAAATCAAGAACTGTAGGTAGTCAGTAAAATGCAAACTGTGTACTTTTTAGCGAACCAAAACATTTTAATGACCACAACAGTCATGATATTACAAACATTTCCTCATCAATTTTTTAAATTAAATATATTGGTATTCGATATATTTTATTTAAACTAGACTTTTCTTTTAAATTAATTATAATTTAACGAGCAATTAAAGTTTGATTTAATTTTCTTAAGAGTTCGCATTTTACCATCTGGTAGGTGGTAAAATGCGAACTTTAATTGTAATTGCAATTAAAATTTGTACTTTACCAGAACTTTAAATTGATTGATTTTTTACAAAATAAATCAATGTATAAAGTTTAGAAATTGTCGGGTGTGGATTAGACTTGGCACAACCCGTGTCGTACGGGTCATACCAGCTAGTAGCTAATAATGAACTTGCAGAACAGTTCCATGTAATTCAACTCTTTGAAAACTTGAACTTATAAAAAACTTTAATTTAAATTATATACTATTACTAAGCATACACCACTTGACAACTTTTACTGTAACACTACTTTAAACACACCAGCTACAACAATAACTCCAAGCAGTCTAGCCACAGCAATACTACTCCAAACACTCTATCTACAGCAATGCTAGCCCAAACGCTCTATCAACAGTAATACTGCTCCAAGCACTTTCTCTAAAGCAATAATACTCCAAGCACTCTGGGCACATCTATACTACTTTAAATACTCTATTCACAGCAATACTACTCCAAGCAATCTAGCCACATCAATACTACTCCAGGCACCCTATCCACAACAATACAATTGAAGCACTCTATTCATCACAATATTACTCCAAGCAATCTATCCACAGCTTTACTATTCCAGACACACTACCCACAACAATACTACTATTACCAGAATACTTTAAATATCAATTTCTAATTTTTTTATCTAATACTCTTTGATTAATTTTTAACCCTAACTTTAAACCTAATAATATTGATAATAATATTTTACGCAAAATTTTATATAAACAACTAATAAATAATAATACCTAAGAGCTTCTGTACCATCTTCATGAAAAAGTGTAACTAAACCAATTATACATCCATGAGTAACTAAATATACAAGTTTTATACACCATTAATACAACATTTTTTTAAATATCAATATAAATTAGTAAACATCTTTCCCCAAATTAAAACTTGAATATTCAGTCTTAAGGACTGTATAAGCATCTCCTATAGAAATTATAAATAAAATGCCATTTAATTCTACAAATTAGGTATTATTTACCAACATTTATAAACTTTGCTTTATGAAGTTTTATACCTTCTCTTTTGTTTTCTTATTAATAGCAAAATGTTTGCAGCCTGGAGTCATTATAGTTTTATCTTATAAATAAAAATCAGGAACTTTGTTTGTTTACAACATCATTCAAATAATCAGGACCCAATTTTAAAGAACCTACAAGCAGCATGTTTTCATGCCTTAAACGCAAGGTTGGCACCCAAAAACCCACCAAAAAACCCAAGAGCAAAAACCCAACTTAATGGGTTTTTGGTCTTAAATTTTTTATTTATAATATTTTTATTCATAAATTAATTTCCATTCATACTCAAGATTTGATGCTGCTCAAAAATTGTTCAAAAAACAAAAAGTTTAGTGAATCATGAGATTTTATTTTATTTGGAGTAGTAATATTCAAACTTAAAGATTTAAAACAAAGTTATTTAACAATTTAGTCATCAACAATTGTGCATCTTGACCTTAATGTATATAAATTAGTTTAAATGCTTAGAAGCTTAGCACAAAATCAGGATAGACTTCATTTACCCATTCCTCAGGTTCTTTTTTCTGACTTCTATCCAAGGTTTTTTCTAAGTAAATAAGTAAAGTTATAAGAGTAGTAAACTTAAAAGAAATTTTTTATCAGTATTTATTTAAATTTGATCAGATGCAAGTTTTTAATTTTTTTTACAATTTTATAGTTACCTTTACATTTTGGATCTGTTAAATTGACCTGAAAATGATATGGAACAATTGCTTTCTTAAACGTCCTT